ACCTAAGTACCCAATCAACCATCCAGACCACCCTCGTTAACCCCCTAAAACAAGCCACCATCACTATGTGCTTCATCCCAGTTAATTAAACCCCTAAAAGCCACCATCACTGCGTGCATCAATATCGTTAAACACAACAAGTCATCATCACCCTCGTTAACCCCCAGCAGGTCATCATCACCCTCGTCAACCCACAACAGGTCACCATCACCCTCGTTAACCCACAAGTCATCATCATCCCCGTTAACCCCCAGCAGGTCATCATCACCCTCGTTAACCCACAAGTCATCATCATCCTCGTTAACCTATAACAAGTCATCATCACCTTCGTTAAGCCCTACAGGTCATCATCATCCTCGTTAACCCCCAGCAAGTCATCTCACCCTCGTTAACCCACAAGTCATCACCTTCGTTAAGCCCTACAAGTCGTCATCACCCTCGTTAACCCACAAGTCATCATCACCGTTGTTAACATCCAGCAAGCCATCATAATCACATTGCTCGTTATCTCCCTCCCCCGCAAGAACCAAGCCATTACCATCACCACCATCGCCCCTTAATGACGCCGAATATGACTGGGCACGTACACCTCGCCCCTGACCGACCGTTTAATTTCTTAAAACACAGAAGTCATCAGCCTTCACTCCGGGACCATCACAAAGCGACTGAAATAAACCGTTATCAGTGCGGTGGACGCCGTAATTAACCCCCTGCCACACACCATTACCTCACTACAACACACACTGAGGCATCCCCCCTCCCCCCCGTACATCACACCCGTTCACATATCATTTTCACACCTCACCAAGCACCTGCGAGAGCTTAGCAACCTTGGCTCAGAGACGAGGTGGAAGTGGGAGGTAATTACGATATGCTTATGCAGCCGTTAAGGCAGAGGCCTTTGGTTCAAAGGGAACGATTACCCATGATGCAGATCCCTCAACCACAACACACACACGGTGCTATAAACCGACACTTCACAAACGTAAGAGATACCTGTGTGTGTGTGTGTGTGTGTGTGTATATATATATATATATATATATATATATATATATATATATATATATATATATATATATATATATATATATATATGTTTTGACAAGACAAGATCGTTGTGAAACACGAAACACTACTTAAAGATGAATCACAAAGTAAACTTTTACCCACACAGAATTTGGGTAACTCTGCCTGTATACTACAAAATTTAGGACATCATTATCATGATTATAGAACTCACTGATTCAACAACAATGACACAAAATTAGTAATTTTCATACTAATTAGTACCGGTAAGCCTAGTTAAAACAAAAAAATAAGGTTTTAAAAGGGGAATGGTGGAATCCCACAGTACAGCCCATGTAAATTCAAATTAAGGTGAGGTCAGGTAAGCCTATCTCTAATGAGTTAATCAGTGCAGAACCATAACGAAATAGGTGGCCTGGGGTACCAGGAAAAATGTTTATTAATACCCTTCACCTCTCCCTCGTTACTGTATATACCATCCCCGACACCATCACCGCTAGCATCCCTCATCATCGCCTCCCATCACTAATACCATTATTTTCCCCATTAATACAGCCGCCAGAAAATCCCATTACCAGGGGGGTCCTCCACGTCTTCCATTAGTGCGCTGGGGCAACAAATTCCTCTCGACGCCACCTTCCCCTCAACGATAATCACAGACCTTTAACTTCACAACAAACCATGGCCCTAATCTCTAAGAGTGCCAACAAGTGCGCTTCACAACACGTAAAATAAATAAATGTAAGCAGCACGAAAATAAACAAAAAAATTATAAAATACCAGCAAGTTGGAGGTACCACCGGGCTGCTGTTTCTTAGTTACTTAATACTGCATATCACTGAAACATGCTTACGTGATTTATGAATTAGGTCAAGGCAATTCAGTAATAAGACGCCGAGCGATTAAAGGATAGAGAACGGGCAGGTAAGCTTCTACCAACAATACCTAAATTAATTAACTGCCCCACCTAGAGGTTTATTTAGTTATATATCCTTAAATAACCAATTACAAAATGTACTGCTGATAAAACAAATTTTTAATAATTTACGAATATGTTTAATTTCGGAAAATTGTTCTACAAGACCCAGTATATAATTCAAATCCAATTTAGGTATTCTGAGAATCACGATTGTCCTAAACAATGTAACTTTCACCTTCTTAGGCAATTTCCCAAGTATCAATGCATTAGAGGCCTATCTCCCCTCTTTCTACCGCTAACTCACTACGTCTGAACGATCAATGGCATCGCCTAAAGTACGTGGGAGCCGACCCACATCTCCACCCCACCACAACCTCCCCCTTTCCCACCCACCACAACAAGCAACCAACCCCCTCTACCAACTGTCATTATATTCTGAACAAACCTTACCCCAGTGTCCTTTCCAACACCAGCAATAAGGACCTCTCTAGTCACACAAAAACGTCCGTTCCAACTGCTGTACATTTAAACACAACAACCAGTTAACACAAAAACATACCTACTCTCATTAACCTCAAACGAATATCATTGCAACTAACACCACCCCATCACCTCTCACAAACATCAATCAATCTAGATAACACCAACTCTAACAAACCACACAAGGTCTATCACACCCTTAGCCTTATGACTTACAAGTAGCACCGACGACAAATACATCAACCCTTGAACCAACTACATAAATATACACCACCCATACATATACAAAGTACACATCCTCTACATCCTGCCCTACGGTTTAGGCCCAGCGGAGGGATCCCCACCATCTCAACTAACTACATTTCACCATAGCCGGCTAGGGGCTGATGCAGTTAGCCTAACACAACACACTCGGGCGTCTTCCCCTCGCCTGTTATTTAACACATCTACAGACACTCTTGAACATCACTGGTAACCTTCCCCATACACCACCATATATTGTACCTAGACTTTCTTATAATTACTTTTAGCGATAAGTCGTCGCCATATGTATACTACATTCAACACTGTCCGTCAAATACAACTAGAATGAGACTGTTATCAAACATATTTACTAAACGTACAAGATTCCTTTACGATCAGTTGTTTGGAAAAACATAAGTGTACCTAGGAACCTTACCCGTTATTTCTTTAATACATGGGAGGAAGAGAAAATCTAACGACCAGCAACACAGCTTTAAAATATGAAATGTATACTGTATACACAAAGATTTCTCAAGTAATATACTGCAACGGATCACTTCACTCGGCATATACTGTGTCAGCCGTCTCCAGCACTAAGGGCGTCCCAAAGCCGTTAGAATAGGCCTACTCGTTATTTCCGCACTAATTCCAAAGGATACTTAAGTACACTGTATTTCACCAGGAACAATTCTCAATACTTGCGGCGTGACTTATTTCCAGCATAGAAACGCACTCCACACTTCCCCACCACAGACAAGAGGAGCTGGGCTTGGCTTTCTCCACCACTGGGGCGCCCCGTCAACACTGTCAGGATGCGAGGGTCGACTCCCTCCAACACTGCCATATCACCAATACCAGGGCCGACTAACTGCAGTGACAGAGTTCGCCCAAACTACCTTCTCCAACACTGTCTCGCCAAGTAAGAGAGACCAAACTGTCTCCCCCTAACACTGATAAGAGAACAGGTCTGTGTCATAACTTTTACCAGAAGGAATAAACATTTGAATGCCTACCCAACTATGCCCATATCAACACTGGCAGAAAGTGAGGGGTGGCTGCCTTCACCAATGTTCCAACAGCAGCGGGAGGGAGGGAGAGAGGGAGGCAGCGAGGCCTGGCTGCCACCACCAGCGGCGGGCAGGCGTGGCGGGAGCGGGTGGTTGGTAGCGGGTGGGCGGCCGTGGTGCAGCAGCCCACACACCCACACCACCCTCATGCCTTATGTCCTGCACTCAACACCAAGGTGGTGGAGGTAGCCAGCAGAGAAACCAAGTCTACAAAACACCACTGCCGCCGCCAAACCCTGGTCACCAGGGCCCAGGCTACAACAAACAAAGGCTAGCGAGCTCCCCCCCACACCACCACTCACCCACCAAAATGTTGCCAACCTACAACACATTTCCCTAATTCTCCTTTCCAAAAACGTTCAAATTGGCCCGCGAAAACGTTGAGTGTAGAAGTGGACATGCGGCCGCAGAGCACGTGGGCTAGCAGTTTTGGGCAAGAACCTCCAATCCTTTTAATAATCAACAATTACCATTCGACCCTCCGTCAAGAACGGCGTAAGCCGCACCCATTCAAGCCAACTATTTATTCTCTATTCAAGACAAACTTTGTCAGTAAAGATGTGATCCAAAAACGTTTATGAGGGTTGGGATGGTTGGGCCACGCTGTCATTGTTTACAGCGTGTCACGTGCGTAAGGGAAGCCTGACATGAAAGTAAATAATTGACATGTAATGCATATTGCAGCTTTGCTTGTTTCACTTACCCTACAGCTCGGTTGGATTTGGGAATTTCGTCTAGATATCATGACAGGGTGTTTAGGACATGTCAAAACAATGTTCTAAGTGGAAATAAAACCGAAATTTAGAAAAAAATGTTGTTGAAGTAGGCTACGTGGCGGTGGTGGTGGGTGTCCTCCCCGGCTGAGCGCCCGGCGTCCGGCCCCGCACCGTGCCTCCCCGCCTGACCGCCACCACCCAGGCCGCCATGCAAAAACTGGGGTGGGTGATGCTGGTATCAGCTGATGAACACACACACAACCCACGCTGCCCCTCACACACCCCACCACGCCCACAACACGCCCGTAAAACCTGCGGCAAGCACGGGCGTGTTGAGTAGGTATGGGGCAAGTGACGTATTGTGATGGGGTTGGGAGCAGCCTGAGGTGGATCAGCTGATGAGCCACCACCTGACAGCTGGCCCACACCCTCTGTAACAACCCCAAGCCTCCCTAACACACCTTACACTCACTCTATACTGTACATGCAACTTGTCCAGCCTGGCACAGAGCACGCCAGAAAGACGGAACACAAGCCCCAACATTTACCTGCCTGTAGTTTCTGCCCGACTCCAGATCCGTGCGGTGGTGGGCGTCGCTGTTAGAGGGAACCTGCGTGGTGGTCGTGGGCGTGGAGGAGAGGGCGTACGGGCGGCGTGGTGGATAAAATAAGTGGGTGTGTTGTGAGGGAACAGCGGCCGCCGGTATCGACCAAGAAGACCTCTGCCCGGCGAGAGTAACCGAGCGTCACCGCACCAACACCCCTCTTCTCGCCAACACTGCGCCTTCACCAACACTCCTACTGCACTATCACCACCACCAACACACGCCTTCTTCCTGATATTTCACCTAACTAACACTTTAGACTTGATAAGTAATGTATACCATGGCTGATAAAGGAATTTCTAGTTCCATTACAAAAAGTGCGCGACAGTCTCCAGGCGCGACTAACCGATCTCACCACAGCCAGTTACAACAATCACCTCCAATTCACCATAAAATTTTCACTTTTCCGACGTTATTTTACACTCACATCACACACTACACTTTGATCCAGGTTCTACGCGACATTTTAGGTACATATTCGGCACTAAACCCTTAAATTTGGGTGAGAAAAGTGTGAGGGAAGCCGCCGAGCGTCCCCCCAAGCCGCGTTACTCGAGTGTGTGCCGCTCTGAACAAGGGAGTGTGGCGGGGTCCCACATCCACCCAACACTAGCCTTTTTTATTCCATATTTCTCCCTTCCTATCGCTTCTACCAGCTTCTATGTAGACTATACCAACACCATGATTTTCTGCGAACGTTCAGCGTGGTATATATACTTATAGTTTACATTAAATGGATAGAAAACACCATGTAAAAGTGATTAATCAGGTTGTTTGTTAGTGAGGGTTTCGGCGCCAGATGGCAGCAGAGCGCAGCCGGGCACATTAACGTGGTTCATGCCAGACGTATGATTCACACTGAGGAGTCCCTTGTGTGCCATAGCTTCTATCGATTTCTCATTGTAAGAGAATCAAGCTCATACTTATATAATGTATAATAGATAATTTTGACATTTTTAAGAAGTTGTAAGTTCAAATCATGCTTGTGAAATAATCAGGTATAAGAGTGTGGGCGAAGTCCGGCAACGCACGGCACGGCTTGAGGGTTTTCCAACGCCGGCGGACGAAAGACGTGATCGATGCTAAGTCCTGACCGCCACTGTCGATTCACGCACAACTTTCATAAATTAAAAGCGCCTGCGATCGACTACGACAGCGATTTTTATATGAAACCGCGATAATATTTACCATGGAGTTATTTATAAGAGAAATAGGAAGACTAGAATTGTGGTGACGTCGGGAAAAGCGATGCAAGTTTGGTATGACTACAAGTGTGCAGCTGTTAGTTGACTCAACCAGCCATCCAGCCCGGCCCTCCACCACCGCCAGCACCACCACCACCACCACCACACCTTCCCTCCCTCCCTCCATTACCACCACCACCACACCTTCCCTCCATTACCACCACCACACCTTCCCTCCCTCCATTATCACCTAACCCCATCCCTCCCTGCCTTCATTACCACCATCATCACACCTTCCCTCCTTCTACCATCACCACACCTCCCCTTCCCTCCCTCTACCATCACCCCACTTTCCCTCCCTCTACCACCACCATCACCACACCTTCCATCCCTCTACCATCACCTCCCCTTCCCTCCCTCCCTCTACCATCACCATCCCCACCTTCCCTCCCTCCAACCATCACCACACCTTCCTCCTCCTCCTCTATCCATCCTCCCTCAACCATCACCCCACCTTCCCTCCCTCAACCTCTCCCTCCCTCCTCTACCACCATACCACCATCCACCTTCCCCTCCCCTCCCTCTACCATCACCACCCCACACCTTCCCTCCACAACCATCCCCACACCTTACCTCCTCCCTCTCCCCACCTTTCCTCCCCACTACCATCACCTTCCCCCTCCCCCCACCACCTTCCCTCACCACCACCACCTTCCCCTCCACCACCACCACCACCCCCCCACCACCACCACCACACCTTCCCTCCCTCTACCACCCACACCACCTTCCCCCTCTCCACACACCTCCCTCTACCACCACCACCTTCCCTCCCTACCACCACACACCTTCCCTCCTCACCATCACTTCCCCCTTCTACCATCACCAAACCTTCCCTTCTACCACCACCATCACCACCTTCCTCCATCTACCACCACCCCTTCCTCCCTCTACCACCTTCCCCTCTCCCACCACCACCACCTTCCCTCCTCTACCCCCTTCCCCTTCTACCACACCAAACCCCTACCCCACCACCTTCCCTCCCTCTATCACCACCACACCTTCCATCCTCCCACCACCACCTTCCTCCCTCTACCACCACCATACCTTCCTCCTCTACCACCACCATTCCTTCCCTCTACCACCACCTTTCCTCCCTCTACCACCCTTCCCCTCTCTACCACCACCATCACCACACCTTCCCTCCCTCCCACCACCTTCACCACCACACCTTTCCTCCCTCTACCACCACCAAACCTTCCCCCTCTCTACCATCACCACACCTTCCCTCCCTCTACCACCACCACCTTCCCTCCCTCTACCACCACCATACCTTTCCTCCCTCTACCATCACCACCTTCCCCCCTTCTACCCCTTCTCTCTCTCTCTCTTAAGACTCGGTTAAAATATTACATGAAATCAAGAATAAGATTTGGCGTTAAGAGTATTTCATATTTCACTTCCATAAGACTTAATATCCCTCTACAGTATTTATTTTTCTTCTAAATTTATAAGCCTTTACATTCGACTAATCTATCGAACATGACTATTAATAAGGTCTTCAAATTCAACTATTCCATCAATCTCCATTCTCTCTAAACTAAGGCTTCATAGTCAATCATTTCACCAGGGATAAAGTCTTCTTAATAAGACTTTACACCCACATATATCGTCCAACTCAACTACCAAACCTCTCTCTAATAATAAGACTATTCATACACTCTCACAATAAGACTCTCTTCATTCAAGTAGTGCATGAACATCTACTCACGACCTATAATAAGACTTCATTTATTAATACGACCTGAAAATAAAATATAATTAAAAAGTCTTATGTCCTGGTTCTCTCTCTCTCTCTCTCTTCTTTTTTTTTAACCTTTATCTTTTAACATTCATTCTCCCTTTCATTAATTACGCCTCCTCCTCCTCCTCCTCTTCCCTCTCATTCACACGCTCCGTACCCCGTCTCCGGTAGAAGGTCTGCGTCATTCAGGTACTCCTTCTTCAGGTCGAGGTTCTTTTCAACTCACTTTTCCTTTACACTTTGTTGAGGTATTTTCTTCTTCGGCGACTCTCTCTCTCTCTCTCTCTCTCTCTCTCTCTCTCTCTCTCACACACACACACACACACACACACACACACACACCAGGAGCATATTTAACCCGTAATTCAAACTAGCTCAAAAGATTTACGTTCTCTCACTCCCTCATTCCTGTGTGTGTGTGTGTGTGTGTGTGTGTGTGTGTGTGTGTGTGTCCATTTCTAATTATTTCTTTTCTCATTCCTCTCTCTAAGTAGGTGTGATAAAATGGCCGCGTCTGCTTAATGCCTAAAAGGGATTTTTTTTTCTTCCTCAACGCTGCAAAAAAGACACTTCCACACGGGTGTCCAACTAAAAGGAGAGTTTAAGGAGGACACTTTTATAAGGATGTCCAACTCAAAGGATTTTTATCAGGGTAAGACACGTAAGAAGGACACTTTAATAAGGATGTCCTACTCAAAGGATTTTGTTTTACCCGCTACGAACTCTTAAGAAAGACATTTGTAAGATGTCCAACTCAGAAGATAATTTTTTCTTCAACCATGAATGCAAGCAGACCATCTTTATAAACAGATCTTTCATACAGATTTTAAAAAATAGTTTGTGTATGTTTGTCTGACTTAATTAGTCAAAAAGTATTTCAACAGGTGAGTGAATGACAAGTATACACGAGTTTCATAATATTGTATTATTTTTACGATACATAATTAATTCTGTATTTTTAATTTATAATCCGTGAGAGTGCTTAAGTGAATAACTTAAAATCCACCCCCTGGTTATTTCACATGAAGATTAATGACCCAAAAGTTTACCAAACCTAACATATCCTGCTGTAACCTGACCCAATACAGCGGTTTATTTGAGGTGATTGACTTAATGTTTTATGTAATTAAACACCTGAAGATTCTCCACCCCAGCTTATTTCACCACAAGATTAACCATCCTAACATTATTTTGGGGATGGTGTTAGGTTAGGTTTGCGTTATGGTGGTTCATCTTTGGGTGAAATAAGCTGGGGTGTAGATTCTTCAGGTGAAGAATGATGGGCGTTTGTCATCACTCCTCTCACCTGTGGTAATAATTTAGGTATGGAAGTCACGACCGCCGAGGCCTAAACTAAACGGTGTGAATAACCTTAATATCTGAAGCTCGTCATACACACACACACACACACACACACATAGCCTTGTCAGCTTTCTCAACTACATACAGTATACCGTCACCTGTAAAATCGAAAGACGTCTGTGGCTGTCGCCTTCATTGACTTCACCAAATCATTAGACCAAGTCGACCACAATGTAATCATCAACAAAGCTCTCGACCTCGAGTTTCGGCGGTCTTATACCATGGCTTATAGACTTCCTTGGACGCCAAGCCGCATGCTTTCGAGGGGCTGTCTCCACATTTCAGTCACTCACCTGTGGCGTCCCCCCAAGGCACCACTATCAGGTAAATAGCATACATATATGAGAGAGAGAGAGAGAGAGAGAGAGAGAGAGAGAGAGAGACGAAACAGATCTTCATTTGATTCTGGATTTGGGCTTTGAGCGCCGTGACGTCACTGATGGCTCACGTCATTCCCGTGTGATATATATAGATATTTTTCCCCATTTTTTTTAGTCAGTCAATTTTGTGAGCGGTGATTGAATTTACGCCGCGAGCTCCGATTAATTTTTGCCATTTAAGCAAGTAGGAATGGAGGGAATGGCCGTACGATTCCAAAGCATGTATCTGGAAGGGGAATGACAGGGAATGGAAGGTGACTGTGACAATGGGTGGCTAGAAGCTAGTAAATGAGTGGTTAGTAACTAGTAAATGGGTGGTTAGGCGCGAGTTAGTGGGTGGTTAGTGGTTAGTAAGTGGGAGGTTGATAAATGGGTGGCTAGTGGCTATTGTTAGTAGGTGTTTAGGAGCTAGTAAATGGATGGTTAGGAGCGAGTTAATGGCTAGTTATGGTCTATAATTTAAGTGAAACAGCTAAGTACACTGTTTTATATCTTCACTTGGGAGTACCACTCAACATGTGAACTTGTGAGAACACCCAACCTTTAAATGAGCCCTCCAACCTGCTACTGATATTTTTATTCTGCGTAACGTAATCTAATCAGCGGTATCTAAGGCAAGAAGGTAAGGCATTGTTGTTGTTGTGTGGGTTGGTGGTAGTCGTGTGTGTGTGTGTGTGTGTGTGTGTGTGTGTGTGTGTGTGTGTGTGTGTGTTTCAGGGGTTTGTATCACTGGCTTCACTACTATTAAAACAAACCAAACCTTACCTTGACTTACCTAGGCTAACCTAACCTAAGCTATACAATTCTAACCTAACCTAACTTAACCTATACAATTCTAGCCTAACCTAACCAAATCAAACCTAAACTGACGTAACCAAAGCTAAACCAACCTAACCTAATCTACCTTAAATATACCTAAACCTTACCTAGACTTACCTAACCTAAACCAACTAAACTTAACCTAGCTCTACATAAACTAACCCTATTTAACCCCCACCA